TAATTATATAATAATATAAATATTATTTATCGTAACATATACAAGTAAATATTTATGATATTTAACTAAATATGTATATCAATTCATTTTAAACAATAAAGAGCATTAAAATCAATAAATTAATCAAATATTGATCAAATTAAATCAAATATTGATTTTAATATCTATATAAAGAACTTCAGATATTATTTTATTAAAAATATCATAAGTTTTGTAAATGCGAATGTGTTAAATTCATAAACATAAAAATTTCACAAAGAAATATTGTATAATTATCGATAATCACATAAATTTAAATCATGAATAAGTTCAAATAAATTATGAATACTAATATTATAATTTATAATGATAACATATATCAATCTTTAATATATTTATTATTTCACGTTATTTTTTACGTTTTTTTATTCATCTTTTAACACCTTACGACATCTCTTAACCAATCTCTTGTTGCATATGAAGTAATAAAAAAAAGTTGCCAAAAATAATTTCAATTTTCCATTTTTAACTTTTTAAAGATACTCATTTATATGTGTATAAATATATATTCATACATAAAAACATATAATAAATTTATAATAATAATTCTTGCTTCTATTATATGAAAAAAAAATGAAAGTAGTAATATATGTACATATATGTATCAAAATTGGCATTAAAGATAAATTGCGCGTATAATTTCCACACTGTGAATTAAAATTATGATGCAACGATTGCGAATGCTTTGACGCGGGTCACCGTATCGAGGTTGCTATTTCGAGTATAGAATAAGATAGTATAAGATGAAGTAGTTGAGAATGAATCGACGTCATACTTTATCGGCCAACATTCTATGCGTTGCGATTTTGTAGCCAATGATAATTATGTATACTATTGTATATTGTTATACATATTATATATTTTCTGCATCCATGCTTTTTTTTCATACAAATAAGATTTACTTTTTATCAATTTCTTATTTATTTTTATTCCATATTTTATTTCATATTATTCTATCTTTGGAATTGTTCGTTTATTTAATATGAAAATTTTATTAAAATTTTTCCCGCGAATTTTAATCACAAGGCACATTATATGAATGTATACCAAAAAAACATAATTCGTAATTCTAAATAAGATGATTTTCATCATTCATTTTTTCATTATAACAAGTATATACATATAAATATATATGTAAACATAAAGATAATAGAATTCTTTATTTATTTTACTTCATCTCTTGACACTTAACAGCACCAAGTGTATATAAAATATGTATGTACAATAATACACGTTGAAAATACCTACGCGTACGGTATACAAACGCACACGCACATACATTCATACATACATACAAAGAGACAGAATCATCCGCTATTCATATAAACGCCCTTATTTTATTTATGTGGACGCGCACAACTTCGTGAATATTAGCGTGTGTTCTAAATAAAGGTACAAAAGTGTCGTGGACGAGTCTCATTTCAAAATTACTTCGAGAAAAGAAGAATAAAGACGACGTAAAAAGCATGAATATAATAGTTGACATAAAATTCATACATTGCAAAAAATATTCATCAAAAATATTTGTCATATATAAATAAATAGAATTTGAGATTGTGTATATGTATCTCCTTATAATTCTGATCGAACGAACGGTGCATCTACGCTCAAATTAAAAATATTCACATACTATAGATAAGTATGTAATATATAAATTGACATCAATCGTTATAAGTATCAAACACGATAAATAACGTGTTCTGATGAAATTAATACGCCTTGAAACTCTTAATATACATATTTATTCGTTCACAACTCGACTACGAGTTGTATATAGATTCGTTTCATTTCTGCTACGACGAATGTAGACAATGATAGCTAATATAGAAAATATTATAGATAGAAAATATTATTTCAATATAATATTATTGGTAGGGATGATTCTCGATCATATTATATATATAAAAAAGAGCACAAGCGTATAACGAATAAATACTGTAATAAGAGGTAACGTAACGAAAGAGAATGCCAATGATGATAGTTGAGCGAAACGAACAAGGAGAAGGAACACGTCATTTTTAATGTGAAGGATCACATTCGCGACGAAAACTCAATCGAGCAATTATCTCAATGGAAATCGTAGAGAAGGTAGCGGTGCAGCGACTGAGGCAGCTGTAATTTTCGTACAATCTTGGGCAGCTTGGTACCGCAAAGCTTACGTACTATTAATCTTGCTTGGTGGGTTAAAGGCAACGGTGTTCGCGCCGCTTCCATGACAAGTTCTTTTTGCGCGTCTGTCAAACTGCTCGATCTTCTTATCATACAAGGATCGAAGCTTTCCGCTGCTTCCAACAATGCCTTAAGCAACCGTGGTTTATCAGCCGTGTTCTGAAGGGAGTTCAATATACCGTGAGGATCGCGGAACTGCGTCTTGATGACAACTCGCGCCCCGTATTTAAGCAACAGGGCTACCACTTCTACCGAGGGATTCTCGTTTGAAGCGACGTACTCGGCGAGAACTGGCCGCAATGCTGGACCTTCGTCGCTCCGTATCACCAAGTTCGGGTCCGCTCCTCGTTCCAACAACATCGATAAAATCTCCAATCTGTTCGGAATGTTGTCCGCGCAAGCAACGTGGAGAGGCGAGCCGATGATTGGCGAAGTAGCATTTACGTCAGCGCCTAAATTTGAAATCGTTTAATTAATATGTAACCAAGATACGTCATAATAGTATATAACAAAGATCATCATTTTCGATCTTTGTCTCGAATCTTTTCATAGATGACTCGAAATATACATATATATTTGTCCAGAATTTATTTTGTTCCGTAAATTGAAAATTAAATATCAAATATTTTTATTTTATAATTGTTAAAAGTAAAGATAAAAAATATATTTTTCTATTATATGTATGTATTATTTCTTTCAGAATGAAATAGATGTTTATTCAATTAAATCAAGTTACTAAGTAACATAATCTTATGAATTTAAAAGATTTCGTATTTCTTTTTCGTTTTTTATTATAATTAGGAAAAAATAAATAAATTTATCATCTAAATAAATCTACATATTACATATTTATTAAATTAAATTAAAAATTGAAATTCGTTTTATTAAGTAGTTTTATTAAGTATTTTAATTTGAAAATGAAATTATTAATATAAATATATAAATAATGGGATTTTAAATCGCGTTAATCTTTAAAATGACAAGAAATTCGAATCTTTCAAAAATTAAAAATTCTTAAAAATCTTGATTGATCATGAAAGATTATTTAATCTTTTTAGAAGTTTTAAAATATATATTAAAAAAAAATTCTCAATATGTAGAATTTCGAAATTCTTGAATGTTATTTTATTTCACTTGCATTGTCTATTTTTTATTCTTATTCTTTATGCAGGCATGGCAGATAACTTTAAAATAAAAAATAGATATTGAATAAGATAAAATTTCCAGTCTTTTATGAGTTTTGAATCCATCAAAATTTTCAAGACCTTAAAACTTTCATGGCTTACGAGATTTTTTGGATTTGAAAATCACATTTTAAAAGTGATTCGAATTTATTAAATATTATTACATAATATTTATTCGAAACGATTCGAAGTTTTTTAAGACCTTGAGTTCATTCAAATTACTTCGAACATAATTCAAGTCTAAAAGTCTTGCAAATCTTGATCATCTTCAAGATCTTCAAGATCTTCAAGATCTTGATATTCGATATTAATTAAATGGTTAATTGGATCAATTTTTAGCGCAAAATTTTCAAAACAAAATTATATAAGTATATATGATGGAAAAAAAAAATTGAGTTACAAATATAGATTCAACGAAAAAAGATATGTAAAAAAAAAAAATCAGTGTAAATATTATGTATAAGAAGATTTTCTTTGTCAAAAAAATAAGATTATTTTTCAATAATACATAATTATATATAATAGAAAAAAAATGGATTGAAAAAGAATTATGTTTAAATTCAACAAAAAAATATTATTGACATTACACGTTTAACAAATTAAGAAATCAAATTACGAGATGTCTCTCGTAAATTAAAAATTAATAAGATTAATTTCAATTTTCGACATCTAGCAATATTATACAAACGCTATTTTCAAATCAAAATGTATATTTCTATTCTATCTTTAGTATCAATTTCAATTTGATTGAATTTCAATTTCAATTTAATTTCAAACGATTAAATTAAATTTAGCCAAATGTATATTTCTGTGATGCCATGATTCTATTTAAATTTTGTAACGTAACTGTTTTTTTCTTCTTAAAAATAAAAAATTTTATGATTCCATTTCAAGAATTGTCATTTTAAATAAAATTAAAAATAAAAATCAATATCTAGATGGATTGTAAATAAGCCAATTAAATATAGTTTTATTAGAAAAGTTTCACCATTGCCATCAGGAATGAAAACTATGTCTTTGTCAATGTATAATTTTCCAAAAGAACTATTTTTGAAAAATATCATATAATTCGTCTTATTCGCATCATAAATGTGCAATTTGATAATTTATAGAAGTTTATATTGTAAATGTAAAATATAAAAAAACAATTGTATCGAGAATATTTTTTACATGCTAATTATTGAAAAAGTTCAATTTGATTATAAACAACATTCATACAACAACATGATTATAAACAAAGTTCAATTTGATTATAAAATATTGCTTTATTGTGAAATGAAAAGTATAAACAAAGTATAAAAAAACAATCTTCATCTTATGATCTTATATTAAACAGAGAATTTATACATTCTAACATAAAGCAAACGATATATTTTTCATAAAAAAAAAATATCCTTTTTTACTAATAAGAGCTTTTTTCTATTTTTTAAATATATTTCTATACTTTGTAGATCATTAAAATTATTCGTTGCAATTTAATATTTCACGTTTATTAAAATTATAAGTAAGGATCAACTATATATCCATGAAGAATCAACGAATATGAAATTTATTATATACGTATTATATAATTATAATACATATATATATCGTTGGTGTTAGTAGTTTTTTTTTATTTGCATGGTCATGATTTGAGAAATATATAATTTCATTTATTTTTCATTGATATTGAATTTTCCTATAATTTTTCAAATATGTATGTATTTCCTTATTAAGTAATCATTAAATCAAATTATCTTGTAAAATAAATCAACATATAATCAAATAATAAAAGAAGATTAACAGAGATAAGAAGATTAGAGAAGATTAACAACTTAAGAAAATTAACAAGTTATTTGATTGATAGATTGTTCTTTTATAATTACATATCAATATTATAATCAAATGACTTGATGATTTTCATTGATTAAAAAAAATTGCTTTTTTCAATCATATCAAAAGCTATCTAGAATGTTTTTCAAATACATAAGTTAAAATATCATTTCGATTACTGTTTTGAAAAATGAAATCATGAAGATCTTAGAAAAATAAGAAAAATAAATCTGTATATGATATAATGAAAAAATAAAAAGAACTTTGGAAACAATCTAATATATTTTTAAAACATTTTTAAAAAGTTGATTTTAAAAGCTAAAAGAAATGACATAAAAGTTGGTATACAAAAATATCAAGACTTATTATTAAAACTTATTCGTTAAATCATAATTCAAGTTTGTCTTAAATATAGTGAATGATATAACTTCATTTAAACTTGAATTAATCATTTAATCATTTCAAAATTTTTGCTACTAATTTTCATATTTATTTTTGCCAACTGTATAATCAACCTTCTGAAGATATCCCATGAATATATTAACATTCTATATGTACATATGTATTATGTACCTGTAATAATATTTTATTTATTTCATAAAGTTTTAATTATTGATTTGATTATTAGTTTTATTATAATTAATTTAATTTGAAGGATTATGCAAATTTATTATAAATAAATCACATATCTTTTTAGATGTAAATTTTTATAAAGGGTGTCATCACAGATAAATATAATTCCAAAATATTATCATTTTACTATCATTCAATTAACATATATAAATAATTAGTCTGTAATATCTCTAAGTATATTTTACATATAAATGATTGTAAAGTGATATCATAAAAATAAATAGGTACGTATATCAATTTTTCAAATCAAAAACATTTTCATATTCTCATTAATCGTAAAAATGGAAAATCCATTATTTTAATATTTCTAATTAAATAAAGTATTTAGCATTAAACTCACCCGATTCCAACAGTTTTTGAACAATCGAGGGATCTCCTTTCAATATCGCCAGATCGAGAGCCGTGGGTTTCTGATACTCGGGACCAAGATCGAGTCGAGCGCCTTGCTTCAACAACAAATCGATCACCGTCGGATCACCACCAAGGATCGCGTAATGGAGGACGGTTCGGTAATCGTGTCGCACGTCGGCCATCGAATTAACATCCGCTCCGTAGCTCAACAGAAGCAGCACAGAAGCTATGCCCTGGCGCGAATATATACGTTTTCATCTGGCAAATATATCTTTCATCATTATTCGGAGGGTTCAGAAGTCAATCAATATAAGTCATATTTTTTGAAAACGACTTATGCGATTGAAAAACCACTTTAAAAATCAGTTTAAATTTTCAATTGACAAATCGACTAAGCCAAAACTATACTATCGAAGTTATTACTTATTTAACTTGTATTATTTAACTTGTCCTATTTTAAAAGTGTTTATGTAAATTATGTCGTGAATATAAAAAAATTACCATTTCTTCTATATATATATACAAATTAAACAGATTAATTAACCGAGTGATCGATCAATTAAAAATTTGAGAAATAAAGAAATTTTTGAACTGTTCAAGTCATTTTTAAGCGAATGTCATGCACGTTGATTGGCTTCTGAACCCTCCATTTATTCTCTCCATCGATCATTTTACCTGGGGCAATCTCGCTGCTTTCATCAATGGTGTCAACCCAGCACGGTCTCGTGTATTCGGTTGAGCCCCGAAAGCTAACAATAATTCCATGCATTGTAGATCCACCGGAGAGACCAGATTAATCTCCGATCCGAAGAAATACCTTTTGTTCGGATTCGCGCCGGCTTCCAGCAGGATTCTGGCCACTTCGATATGTCGATTTCTCAAAGCGAGCCGCAGCGGTTCGTCGCATAACGTTGTCCTGCGCAGATTAGTATGAAATGATTCATAGATCTACAATGATTTCTCGTTAATTTTCGAACATTGCAGTGTGCGAGAAAAAATATATATATATTCAATACACAACTATATAAAAAAAAATATCGATTCTGATGAATTTCAAATGCGTTGTCAAGATCAATATTTTGAATAATTTTGCTTATACATATGATCGTTGTTCGATTTTGATTGCGAGGTATTTAGAAAAAAGATATATTTTTAAAAAAAACGACACGTACACTTTTAGAGAATTTTAATTGCAGAGATTAAAACGAACAGAAAAGTTGGTATATAAAAATGTTGATCGAGATTTATTTATTAAGTTATAAGCAAAATTTAAATTATGAGAATTTAAAACGAAGAAATAGTGCGAGACAGTTCTATCTCGTTTGACCCAACGGAAATTTAAGTTGTTTATAACTAAACATATAAAAAACTTAACTGACATTTTTATATATTAACTTTTGTACTTATTTTTTCTAGAATTAATCCTCCAAATCATGTTTTACGAATATACCGTATATATATATATATATATATATATATATATTAGTAAAAATAAATTATCATATAAAATGAAACAGGACGTAAAATTAATGCATGGTATTGTATGTATAAGATACATTTATATATGATTTCTAAAGTTAATTTTAAAAAAATGTAAAATTAGTGTATTTAATTTTATCAGATTTTAATTTAATCAGACTTTTTTTTCAGAATATAAATTATTATATTATGTATATACTGTGAAATAGTTATCTATATTAAAATAACTATAATATGAATTAATTCAAGTTTAATATATAAGATGTCAAAACTTCATTAATAATAATGAAATATTTTTTCACTACAATAACTCTCTAATAAACAATAAGTGATTAAAATCTTCTTAAATAGAAAGATGATCTCTACATATAAATATTAAGATTAAAATTATTTGAAGAATTGATTTCTCGTAATTATATAATTATATAATATTTACCTATGCAATATTTAAAAATATTTCTTGATATCTTGGAAACTAAAATCGAGTGGCAGTTATACATGCACATTATGTACATTAAAACACCGAAAATTTGAATTATTTGGAAGAATCGATTAATATAATTTATTAATCTAATATTATATTAATCTATTAATATAAGCAATTTTTGCAATAGAAAGAAAAATTTATTATATATCAAGAAAAATTTATTATATATTATTATGTTTATATATTATAAAACAACTAAAAATTAAATAATTTTCAAATTTAATAGAATCTTTATTCTTATTAAAAGTGCATTATAAAAAATTAATCATCTAAAAATTTTAAGTATTTTTTTAATTTTAAGTATCGTCTCAGAATATATACATCAAACGTGCAGACATTGTTAAAACGCGTTTATTAGCAAATTATTCGCAAACATTATTTACGTTATACATTATTTAGCTTATAGTATCGGAAAATATTACAAATTGTTGTTCATAGATTCAATCTATGAGCTGATTTAAATACTATCGGATAATAATTGATTATTTAAAATAACCAAACTTTGAATAATTGATATACGTTCTACTGTAGGAAAAAATTGTTAAGAATATTGTTCCTGTTAACATATTGATTTCAAAATCATTGAAATTAATAAAGTGACTTTTTGTAATTATCATAATTATATTACATTATAATTATATTATAATTAAATCTAGAATTTAATTCGATATTTTACATTAAATCATTCGTTATTCCGATTTGAACATTATGAAATCCTATTTAATGAAATGATATTGTAATTTTTCAATTATCAAGTTACTTTAAAATACTTATAAAAAAATAATAAACTTGGAAAAAAAATAATTTATTGATCACGAAACGCAAGTATTTTGGACATAATCTACAAGAAATATTTATTCTTTGATCAAGAAATTCTCTCACATGATTACTATTCTAACCTCACTTTACTGTCATTCATTCAAATCGTTTCAACATTATTTGGTAAATACGCATTTTCAAATAATATAATAAAGCATCGATGATATCAAAATTATCACTTTTTTTTACTAGAGAATTTGAGAATTGTTTGAAAGATAAAACATAATCTCGAAAATAATGCAATTATTTCAAAAATAATAATTGTTACGATTTCATTTAAAATAAGTAGTAACGTTATTTTAAGAAGATACCGAATTAACTTCTAGATCTAATATAAGATATATGCTAAATTACGTAGAACTATGCATTCAATAGATACATTCATACCGTTATACATATATATAAGTATATGTATCTACATTTAGAAAGTATTAATATAACATACTTATATATATTTATCGTAATTTGTGTTATAGCTATAAAAATAAAATTTTTCAAAATTTTCTATCATAAATTGATATCATCTAACAATATTAAAAAAATTAATTTATGAACTTCAATAAAAAATATTCTGAATAATCTATTTATATATTTATTAATAATTTATTTATTGATTTTTAATATATTAAAACATTCGTTGTAATTAGTATAAAACAATTAATTTTATTAATTAATTTATTTAATACATATATATTTTTTTGTACAATAAAAAATAAATTAAATAATAATAATAAAATTTAATATTGAAAAATATTTGGAGAACGAATAAATTATATAAATATTGTTTAAAAAAATTTTTAAAAAATTATATTTAAATACTTTATACTAATGATAAATTCAATAAAATATAATGATTTTTAATGACGAGTAAACATTTTTATCTGAATAATTTTACGATATTATATTTCTCTATCATTGAATTTATATCTTATTATACAAAAAATTATATGTTATATATAATATATAATATATAATATTAAAAATATTAATTTATGTTTCAAACTTATTAATGCTTTAAAATATTAAAAAAAGATTCAATAATACTATTATAAGCAAATATATACATATACTATAAGATGTGAATATATTTAACTAGAATCAAGCTTTTCAGTTGATTTTATTAGAACAAATATAAAATTCAGATTTGGTTAGGTTAATATACAAAAAAAATGTTGATTTAGGTTTGTTGTTTATTAATTTATAAGTAATTGAAATTTGACTAAATTTTTAAGTAATTGAAATTGGGCGTCCATTTGTTGCATATTCTCACATTATTATTCTGATACTAATACAGATGTTATTAAAATATGATACGAAAATATTCAAAAATGCATATTCATTTGTTTCATATCCTTATAACGCATTATCATTCCGATAACGTGGATAAAACATTATATGTTGCATATCAAAATAGTAAAAAGATATACAAATCGATCTGTCATTTGTCTTTTTTTTATTATTTCATCATTAAAAAGTGATTATGTTGAAGTAAAAGGATTGGTGAAAATGATAAAACATATTATTATGCACGATTAACATAATTATGGTGTAAACAATTGTTTATAAATTTATGAATTTAATCTTCTTAGATTTTTATTATGTTGCAATTTATATACAAATTTTCAAATTTCAGAAATAGTTTATTTCTTTTTTAATAACCATTTTCATTCAAATTAAATATCAACTAATGTCAATCAATATATAATTTAATGCTATGCAATTTCCAATTTACTTTATTTTCATTTGTTAATTAGTACTTCAATTTTATAATAAATCATCAGTAGAATATACAGTTTTAAAAAGTTGATCAAAAATCTTTTTTACACATTTTTTTTAGCTAGAAAAATTATGATATAGTTTAATTATTATTCATATTAATTATTAATTATTAATTATTATTAACATTAATCATATAACCAAATTCATATTTTATTTTCTGTTATTTTAACTAAAAAAATGAGAATATATGTTCTAACATCTAAAAATGAAATTAAAAAATTGTTAATATTATTGATCCTCACAAAAATTATATTTCACAAAAGAGGAAGATTATTTAATACTGTTAATTTTTCGGTAAGTAAATATATAAAAGACATTAGCTTATTTTTTAACTAGTAACTTTATTTTTTTTTCTTTCAATTATATAACTTTATATAAATTATATAACTTTTAATATTTTAATTGATATATTATTAATCGATATCTATATTTTTTCTTATAAAAAAGTATTTTCAATAATATTTTCAATAAATCTATTTTCAATAAAAAATTGTTTGTAAAAAAATATTTTAATTTGAATAGAAATTATATAAAAAACGAGAAAAACATAAACAACTTAAAGAAACGAAATCATTGTTAGCTCAAAAAATGAACTCATTATAATCACATTACGTAACACAATGATACATAACAATGGATACGAAATGTAGCAAGCAGAATAATAAAATGATGTGACGGTATATAATTCTTTATTGGTATCTCGTTTCGTCTAATTGCAAACAAATCAATTGCTTATAATGAATTTAATGAACTTTAACATTTTTTATATTTTATGTTTGTTTTTGTCTCTAGAATTGAGATTTCAAAAATATCCCATGAATGTATTAACATTTCATATAGCAATAATCTCTCACACTTTAATGTCCGATTATTAACAACAATTGTATCATTCTCTCTCTCTCGCTCATTACTATCTGCTTTCCTTTACATCTATTTCTTCTATTCCCTTTCTCTTTCTCTCTTGCCTCTAATATTAAGTCGTTTCTCTTTTCCTTTTCTATATCCCTCTTGTCTTGATCGTCCCTTCTCTCACCTTCTTCTTGATTATTTCTTAACACCGATAAAAATAAACAGCGACGAGAAAATTTCACGCATGTACACAATGATAATTAAAACAAACGACTACATAACCATTTATACAATAGCAAGTATTGTTAATTTTTGGCACGCACTCCAAGGTCGGCAAGACCGGACGATTAATTTCTAAACTGAATGTAGTCGAGTATCGAGTTTCGAGTTATATCGATATCGACAAGTGGTCGTGATCCGCGTAGCGAAAATGTCAAGGAACATATTGAGACAAAGAAGGAAAGGAATGGACACGGGTATAAAATAGAGAAGAAGAGAAAGAGAGTGCGAAGAAAATCGAAGAGAAAGGAACGCGGAAAGCGATATCGTACCTTGGAAAGAGTTCTCCCGTTTCCTCTCTATGATCGACTTTTGCACCCTGCTCAAGCAACAATTTAACCAAATCGAAGTAACCGTGCTCGGCGGCAAGATGCAATGCCGAATAGCCACATTCGTCGGTCGCATCGATGTCCGCGCCACGTACCAACAACAGCTGGGCCGCCTCTGTGTACCTCTGCCATACCGCGTAATGTAACGGTCTCAGGCCTTGGGTCACAGGCTCGTTCACCTTTGCCCCACACGCCAGTAAGATTCGAATTTCGTCGAGCGATTGTAACCGAATAATGGCATCGGCCAACTCACGCTGTAATGGATTGGCGATGCATTCGGAAGGCATCTGTTAAAATCATGTTAAAATCGAAGAAAAATAAAAGAATTAACTTTGTTATATTTATGTTATATTTTATGTTATACAGGATGTCCTAGAAATATGGGAACATCAGTTAAAATGGAGATTTGAGGTAATTTTAAGTAATATTTTTTATAAAAAATTTTTCTTTGATATGTTATTTGAATTTATTCGTGCTCAGTCTACATTATCATTGCGGCTATATATTTTGTGATTGTCCAGTGTTTTTCGTTAAACTCAGAAATCTCCAGTTAATTAATATTCCCATTTTTGGGACATACTTATAAATGATAGCCATCAGAAATAGACAAAATTTTAACTATTAAAGTTGAAAATAAAGTTACTTCAATAAAATTACTTATATATAATTTATCATTCAAAGCATCTAATAATTGCAATTAACTATAGCGCTAAATACTTGAATTAATTAAAAAAATAATATAGTAATTAAAAAATAAAGAATAAATGTTATTCGAGAATTTTAAATAAAGTTATTACTTAAAGTAACTTTATTTGAAATTTCAATTAATTAATTTTTCAATCTATTAATGCGTCCTCTGGTAGCTAATAAAGATAGTTATCTATCAATTTGTATAGTATTTATACAATAAACTAATATGAATATTTTTACAAAGAATATTTTTCTTCAAAAATCAAGTTTTTGAAATCAACGATGTTTTTTTGCACATAAATGAATATTTTTTTTCTCTCCTTGCATATTATAGCTAATATTAAAACGCATGATAATCTTGGAATAATCTTTCGCAAAATTAAATTATATAGTGAAAATTTCTATTGATATTATCTTAGTTGCGAGAATCTATGGATATGCAAATAAACATTATCTAAAAAATTGAAATGTTAATATTATTAAATTTATAAGCTATCACTATTTTTTTCAATCACAATGTTATCAAATATTAAGAATGATGTGACTTCATATTAAAAGAGATTTAAAATTTATATATATAAATTTGAAAATTATCAAAAAATTATTATAATTTATTGTTTCGAAAAATACATCTATGGAAGATATAAGATTGAAACTGATAATTAAAAAAGATAAGTCACTTCAAACTTATATTATTATCTCTGAATATATTTTAATATCAATCACAATATGCAAAAGAAAAAAAGACATGATTTGAAAACTTTAGAAAAAAATGTACTTTGAGAGAAAAATATTCTTTGCAAATTATTCATTTTGAGATACTATATAAATTGCAAAAAATTGAAAAATTTTTTATATCATAATTGAAGTAGATATTAAATAGTTATCTTTAAATGGACATATCTACCATCTATCAGTATCTATTCTATACAGTATCTATTCTATTTTTTCCCTTTACTCTTACCTCTCATTTAATAATAATATAGCATAGTAATATTAACTAACTATCGCGGAATTAAGATCAAAATGTGTTTAGAATTCGCGACAATAATTCCTTAGAAAAAAATGTGGATCTGATTTCGGCGTATGCACTCATAAAAATAAGTGTACATATTGGTCAAAAGTATCATATTACAAATAAAATAAACGTAGCACTGTATACGCTGAACAAAAGAAGAAAATAGCTCTTACTTTTGTATCATACTGTTTCGTTAACCATGTAGTAAATGTTTTGAGAATTGTTAACCTTTTGTCGATTTTGTTCATTTCATTAGGTTTGTAGAAACAAGAAAAAAGAATATTTTTTATGAGTAAGATAGAAAAATGTATTGTAATGTATTTTGTTTTATGATATATGTAGATTTGAAACATATTACGATATAAGTAATGGATTTAAATCAATGAATTATATAAAATGATGTTTTAATAAACTATCATTGAATTAAATCTATCACTTATATCGATGACTACATTATAATATGTTTCTATGCATTGTTTAAAATTTTTAAGCATGTGCTTCAAAAATTGAAGTTCCAATTCAGAAATTGGTGATAATTCTGCGATAGTTGAACATGCATATCTATGATATAATTTGTAATAGAAATAATTTTTGTTCAATTTTAATTACAATCTATCGCAAATTTATGATTTGACGAAATATACTTCTTCTGCTATATGATTAAACAAATTATAGCATTTTTGTAATTATATACATATATGAATATTTTATTATATTGAATTTAAATTTACTTAAGAAAAATTTATGATTTTAAAATATATTTTTATTTTCTAGAAAAAATTGAAAAAAATCATTTTTGATATGAATCCTTTTAAATTTTCAGAAACTATTTTTGATAATTGAACTTATTTTTGATAATCAATTATGAGAAATGATAATATGTATACATTAACTTTTATTCTATTAATTTAAAAATTGAACTATTATATCTTATATATTATATATCTCTAATCGTTATAATGGAAAATAAAGTAATTGTACGTAGTATAACGAATACATTATAAGTTCAGAATCATTATAAGTTTGGAATCGATCCAGAATTGTCCTCATAATGTAAAATCCGGAATATCATAAATCACCATCCACAAATATAATAGAACTTACATTTATCGATCTCTATGATAAATAATTTCCGATAATAAATTATTATATTATTCATTTAATCTTAATGTTTCATAATCTCTATAGAAACGTAATATTTTTAGCACTCGTAACTTTTTTACAATGAAATTAAATCTTTATTTTATTAATTTTTGATTAATAATTTTTTTTAACATTCTCCAATATACAAAAAAAAATAAATTGCATTGTTTATAATATTATAAATAAAATGATATTTTTAAAAAATATTTTCCATATTTTGAAAAAAAATTATTAAAATATATATTGATTTAATTATATCAATTTAATTCTTATTTAAATATATATTATTAATTAATTGATATATATAATTTTTTCTAATTTTTAAAAAATTAATTTCTCTGTTAAGAAAAATATAATAATGAATTTAGTCTAAGATTGAAAATTTAAATATT